GAATGTCACCCGAAATGAGTGATCACTCAGAAGGAGACTGGGGGCCGGGGTTAAGTGGGGTCAGCCTTATCTCACTGGACGCCCTTTGGTGCTGGTGGCTGGGCAAGGCCCAGGGGTGGGGGCAGTTGAGGAGAGGAGTGGGGAGCAGGGGTGGGGACAGAGGTGACTCAGGTCAATGCTGATGGGAAACGGGGGAGGGGTGGGGGAAGAGCTGGGGCTTCTGGGTCTCCCAGGATGGAGGGACCCCAGGAGAGAGGGACCCCAGGAGGGAGGGACACCAGGAGGCTATTCGGAGGAGCACTTCCCTGTGGGGGGGTGATGGGCAGGCAGTTAGCAATAGGAAGCACTTCCAAGGAGCTGAGCTAGAGAAGAGGGGACAGAGCTCCTAAGGTCCATCCTTCTAGAAAGTTCCACAGGACTCACCCTGAAGCAGGAGAGCCCACAGCTAGACAGCAGGGCCCAGGACGGGGTGCTGGGCAGTGAGAGGCACTGGCAGGAGGTGAGGCGGTCTGCGTGGGCTGAGGGCAGAGCGCGGTCCCTGCCTGGGAAGCGCCCAGCCCAGAGATCCTTATCCAGGGCAGGGACAGAACTGGTTTCCCGACTGGCAGCACCAAGGGGGACAGGACAAGAGGAAGCCCCAGGGTCAGGAGGACAGTGTCCAGCCAAGACTTGGCCAGGGGACCCCAGGCAGTTACTAGAACATTCTCAACCCCCTCTGCAGGGGCCTCCCTCAGCCTTGCAGGGGCCCCTTTTCTGCCCAGGACTGACGGACAGACGGACTTTCCTCTCTGTCCACTTGGAGGATCCCCAGCCCAGGTCCCCCAGTGTCCCTCCGCCCATTCGCCCAGGTAGAGTGGCCCAGCCAGGAGAAACACCTGGTTGGACTCAGCTCCTCGCTCCCCACCCCCCAACTCGGAGGGCTCCCGAGGTCACCACGGGGAGGGGCAGGGGACCAACCAGGGGCAGGGGACCCTCGAGGGCTCTCCAAAGCCAGCTCCCTTTCATCCCCCGCCACAAAGGCCGCACCCCAGGCCCATCCATCTTGTTCCGGCCACAGTGCTCAGGCAGCTCTTTGTGAAGGACCTGGGGTCAGGGGCCTGGCGGGCGCGGCCCCCTCTCCCCCAACCCGCCTCTGGGGCCTCCCCTGGCACCTCCCCCCTGCCCAGCTTTCTCTCTTGCTTTTTTTTTTTTTAATATTTTTTTTTCAGTTTTCGGTGGACCCAACATCTTCATTTTATTTGTATGTGGTGCTGAGGATCGAACCCAGCGCCCCGCGCATGCCAGGCGAGGGCCCTGCTGCTTGGGCCACCTCCCCAGTCTGCCTCTCTAGTTTTTGAATTCTCTCTGTCTCTCTCTCTCTCTCTCTTTTGGTTCTGGGGATTGACCCCAGGGGTGCTTAACCCCGAGCTGAATCCCAGCCCTTTGGATGTTCGACTTTGAGACAGGGCCTCACTAAGTCACTGAGGCTGGCCTCCGGCTTGGGATCCTCCTGCTTCAGCCTCCCGGTGCTGGGATTGCTGGTGTGGGTCCCCACACCTAGCGTTCTCAGTGTTTCTTGTTGTGTCTCCGTGTTTCTCATCCTCTCTTGTCCCTCAGTCTCTAGAGGACCGCCCTATCTTCTGTCCCTTGCAGGCTCCTAAGATGGTTTTCTGGGCCACATCATAGGCACGGAGTTGCTCTCTGTGCCAGGGACTTGGGAGACCTCAGTGTCCTGCTGCCCCAGGCTCCGTCCTCTCTGCTCTCAGCTACATCAGTGAGCCTCCCCACTCCCGCCTCTGCCACCCCCAAGCTACTTATTCTGGTTTCTTCGAGGGGTGGGAGAAGAGGGTTTGTCTGTGCCTCAGTTTCCCCAAGATGTCACCGTCGACTCCCTCAGCCTAACAGTATCCCTGCTGTAGGCGTCAGACTCCCAGCCTTGGGGGAAAGTCCACCAGGTGGCCTTCCCTCCTCTCTGCCTCCACTTTCCTGGGCCTCCCCAGCAGCAGACCTTAGAAGACAAGGGCCAGTGGCCAGGCCCAAGACTCTTCAGCACCCCCTGTGATTGGGCTCTGGGAACTCTGTGCTACAAAGAAGAGAAGGGGGCAGGCGCCGTGGCACGCGCCTGCGATCCCAGCGGCTTGGGAGGCTGAGGCAGGAGGATCACAAGTTCAAAGCCGGCCGCAGCAACTTAGCGAGACGCTGTCTCTAAATAAAATATAAAAAAGGGTTAGGGATGTGGCTCAGGGGTTAAGCGCCCCTGGTTCAATTCCTGGTAACAAACAAACAAAGAGAACAGGAGGGGCTGCTCCGAGATGGTGCAGTTCTGTGGGTGCAGGTAGGAGGTGGGGTTCTAGAATCTTCTCCCGGATGCTGTGCAGAGTAAGGACGTCGTAGGTAACGGAAGAGGAGTCCAGGAGGGCCTTGCAGGCGGGCGGGGAAGCAGGAGGGACTTTCTCCAGGTGGAGCCAGGCCGGCCAGCAGGGCAAGGTGCCCCTCCCTGATCCAATCTCCTGGCCCAGCTCATCCCAGGCTGCCCGAGGGGGGAGGGCTCACAGCGGAGGAGTTCTAGACCAAACAGAAACACTGGCACACAGAAGACCCTCTCAGCAACCAAAGCCGGAGGCCCCAAGGCCATTGGGGGGGACAGTGGGGATGAACCCAGGGGTGCTCTACCCCTGAGCTGTACACCTAGCCTCCCCCCCCTTTTTTTTTTTGAGAGAGAGAATTTTTAATATTTATTTTTTAGTTCTCGGTGGACACAACATCTTTGTTGGTATGTGGTGCTGAGGATCGAACCCGGGCCGCACGCATGCCAGGCGAGCACGCCACCGCTTGAGCCACATCCCCAGCCCACTCCCCCCCTTTTTTTGAGACGGGACCTCTCACCAAGTTTCGGAGGCAGGCCTCAGACTTGTGATCCTCCTGCCTCAGCCTCCCCAGTGACTGGGATTACAGGCACATGCCTGGCCCTGGGCACCGTCCACTTTTTAAAACCCTTCGATGGCTTCTCACTGCACTTGGAATTAAATCAGAAACACTTGAGGGGTGCAGTGTGGCACACCTGTGATCCCAGTGGCTCAGGAGGCTGAGGTTTGCAGGTTCAAAGCCAGCCGCAGTGACCCAGCAAGGCCCTAAGTAACTCAGCAAGACCCTGTCTCTAAACAAAACATAAGGAAGGCTGGGGATGTGGCTCAGTGGCTAGAGGACCCTGGGTTCAATCCCTGGTACCAATCAATCAATAAAACACAGCATGGCCTTCAGGTTCTGCATGGTCCAGCTCCACCCACCACTCCAGCCTCCCAGAACTCCTGCCAAGGGACACTGGTTGGATGCTAAGTGCTTCTCTGCCTTGGGCCTGTACCCTGTGGCTCCTCTGCTCTTCATTCCGAGTCCCTCCAGTACCTTCTCTGCCGGCGTCTCTGCTCACCCCGAGTCTAAATGGCAGCTGCTCCGTTCTTCTGTCTCCCCATCTCCTGCATTTTCTTCAGGATACTGACCACGTGTTCAATTGTGCATTTGTCTGGGCACTTACTATGAGAACCTTCATCTCGCCCATGATCCCCGACGAGCCCCACGAGGCCAGAGAGCCTGTCTTTTTATTCTGGGCTCCCAGGACCCCGCAGGGTACCTGGCTTTTAGGGGGCTCTCAGGAAACAAACGGGGTCAATAAACGAGAGAGCCCCACATCCCCCCAAGCCTCCTCAAGAGCTCTGGGTGGTGTCCCCACTCTCTGGCCCTCCACCCTCTACAGCGCGACCTTCCAGGGGCAGAAGCAGGTGGCCCTAGCCCCAGGGCCCCCTGGTGTTGCAGGAGAGGAGACTCTTCGCTGACACAGAGGCCGGCCATGAAGCATGGCCACGGTGGCACTGGCCGAGGAGTGGCCGCTCAGGGCCATTATGCAGGGAGCTAAGCTCTGCAGACACTGAGTGCCAAGGCGTCCGGGAGGCAGAGAACTTTTTTGAAGGAATGAATGCAGGAGGTGGAGGCCGCGTCTCAAAGGCCTCTAATACCAGGCTGGACTTTATTCTGGACCTAAAGAGGTGGACTTCATTATTTATTTACTTGGGGGTGCTGGGGATGGAACCCAGGGGCACTTATCCACTGAGCCACATCCCTGTCCCTTTTTATTTTGGGACAGGGTCTTGCTAAGTCGCTTAGAGCCTCGTAAGTTGCTGAGGCTGCCCTCAAACTCCTGACCCTCCTGCCTCAGCCTCCAGAGTAGCTGGTACTACAAAGCTTATTCCACCATGCCCAGCTAAATTGCCATGGGGAGACCAGGGATGGAACTCAGGGCCACTTGACCACTGAGCCACACCCCCAGCCCTATTTTGTATTTTATTTAGAGACAGGGTCTCACTGAGTTGCTTAGAACCTCGCTTTTTGCTGAGGCTGGCTTTGAACTTGCAATCCTCCTGCCTCATCCTCCCAAACCACTGGAATTACAGGCGCGTGCCACGGTGCCTGGCTAACCTGTGTTTTTAATTCTTATTTGTCTATTTGATTTTTTTTTTCCAGTATTGGGGATTGAACCCAAGTGTGCTCCACCGCTGAGCTTCATCCCCAGTCCATTTTTCTATTTCATCTGGAGACAGGGTCTTGCTAAGTTGCCTGGGCTGGCCTCACACTGGTGATCCTCCTGCTTCAGCCTTCCTGGTAGCAGGGATTGCAAGTGTGGGCCACCACACCTGGCTTACATGCAGATTTTAAGGCAGGGAGAGACAGTGGCAGAAATGGGCTTGTCATGAAGGGCCGAGTGGCAGGGTGACAACCTCTTGCCCAGAGACCTAGCAGGAGCAGGGGCCAGCTTGTGGGTGTGGATGAGCTTATCTGGAACTGAGCGGGAGACCAAGGCCAGGCCCATGCTTGAGACTGGAAGAGGAAAGGGACAACTGGGGAGATGGAACTGTGTCACCACCGTAGAAAACATGAGAAGTCGGGTCCCAACCTGAGCGACTGAAACATGAATCCGGGGGAAGGAGTCCGGGTCACTCACTGACCCCTGCTGCATGAGCCAGACACAGTTATTTTTTTAAAGCTTTTAATAAAATTAACAAATAAATATTCTAAACCCTACTGGCTACAGGAACAAAGAGTGGACGCCAGAGGGCCAGGCCTTGCCACTTAGACCCTCAGGTCCCCTCATAGGAAAATAAACGGCTGGGGAGTGGGTGGGGGCTGGGACTGCAGGTCTGGGGAGGGGCGGTGGGTCCGGGAGGGGCGGCCTGGGCTCTGGCAACCCCTCCCTCTTTGTTGGCATAAGGGAGGGGTCAAGGGGTCCAAGAAAGCAAGACCCTGCAACAGGCATCCCAGCCACCTCAGGTGACCTGGGTGAGGGACAGCTAGCCTAGGAGAGCATGGGGGCAGGCAGTGCCCGAGGGGGGGCCGGGAAGCAGGGGTGGCTTGGGGGAGGGCGGGTCTGGGCCGCTCACTCTCGAACGTAGACCCTGGTGCACACCACATCATCCGCTGTCATGGTCTGAAAGGACCAGAGAGGTCGTTAGCCTGGGAGGAGCTTGGGGCTTGGCGAGGGGAGGACGAGGGGAGGGAACGCTGCTCGCCCTGGGGTCTGGAGTTGCTCCCCCCACCCCCACCTGGCCCCAGAAGGCCCTGCATCCTTTGAGGGAGAAGGCAGTGCAGCAGGGTCTCATCTCCTCCCCACCCAGGGAGAGCCCCCCACCCAAGACGGCCAGGGCCCCTCAATGCACATCTTGTGCTCTGCACAAAAGAGACACCATTTCTTTTTCGTTTCTTTCTCTTTTTGTACCAGAGATTGAACCCAGGGCTGCTTACCCCCTGAGCCTCACCCCCAGCCCTTTTTTAATATTTTATTTAGAGACAGGGTCTCGCTGAGTGACTTAGCACCTCATTAAGTTGCTGAGGCTGGCTGTGAACTTGCCATCCTCCTGCCTCAGCCTCCAGAGCTGCTGGGATGACAGAGGGGTGCCACTGAGCCCCGTAAGGAGGCCCATTCCTAAGGCACGCTGTGTACAACAGGGGCAGCTTAGGCCCAAACAAGCAGCCCCATCTGGAGGGCAGGGGACCAACCCTGTGTGTCCTTTCTTTCTAGAGCTTCCCAGGTGGCACTGGGTTTTCGTAGTGGCAGGAGGGGGACTTACCAGGATCAGCTCTCCGTCATTGGTCAGTTCTCTGGTCCAGGAGGTCTTGGGGCCCTCCCCCTTCAGAAGTCTCTGCTCACAGACCATCTTGTTCTCTGTCTCCCACTTTACCAGGCTCTGCAAGGGACAGGTGACCAGGTGACTGGGAATCTGGGAAACCTGAGGCAGTGCCACGTGGAGGCTGGAGGACCCCTCCTGGCACTCACCTTACAGGGTCTCCCGTCCACAGTCTGCTCCTCAAACTCCTCCCCGATCTTGAAGTTGATCTCCGTGGTGCGCACGGTGGTGGAGGTTTTGATGTAGAAAGTGTCGCCGTCCTGTTTGATCTCCACTGCTGGCTTGGATGCCGCGGCCACCGCGATCTTCCTCAGCATCACGTTCACCCCTGCAGGAGAGGGAAGGGGACAACTGTCACACACACACACACACACACACCCAGACAGCTGGAGCAGCGACCTGGGGCTTGACCTGGGAGGCAGCTTGCAGGAGATGCTGGCGGTGAACGATGATAGGTTCGGGGAGGAAGGGCAGGGAAGTGTGCCCTGCCCCAGAGCCCTGTTCAGCTGTGGCCACACCTTGTTGAGTCAGCAGGCCTGATGGGGCTTCCCAGCTCTGTGCCCCAGAATCTCCAGGGACAGCTTGCCTGGGCTCCCACCCGGCAAGCCTCCTGCTGCAGGCTGCTCACCTCATCCGGCCTTTCACTGACCCTGGCTGCAGACCTCCCGTAGGGTGGCTCCTCAGTCACTGGGTGTGCCCTGCCCCTACCCCCACCAGGTCCAAGCGCAGGGCAGACCCAGGAACTAGGGACAACCTCCCTTTTTGCCTCCTTTAGCTGGAGCTAGGTAGGTCTTTTTTTTTGTCCAATTTCTGCCCTCCCCCTGCAAAACCAAAAAAAAAAAAAAAAAAAAAAATTAAGAGCAGGGATTCTCAGCAGAGGGCGAGATGGAGGAGCTCTCTCTCTCTACAGAATGGCCTGCTACCAGCCCGGGGAGTCAGAGGCTCTGAAGTAAGATCTATTTGGCTGTGATTTTTCTCCTGGCACAATCCCCCTCTTAGGCTAGGTAACCCTTGACATCTCTGAACTTTAGATTAAGTAATTGTAAATTTACTTAATTGGAAATTATCCTCCTTGCAAGTTCTCAAGTAGAATTCGATGCATATGTAGCCAGGCGAGGTGGTGCACGCCTGTAATCCCAGCAGCTTGGGAGGCTGAGGCAGGAGGATTGCAAGTTCAAAGGCAGCCTCAGCAACTTAGTGAGGCCCTAAGCAATTTAGGGAGAAACTGTTTCAAAATAAAACACAAAAAGGGCTGAGGATGTGGCTCAGTGGTGAAGTGTCCCTTGGTTCAATTCCTGGTACCAAAAAGAAAAAAAAAAAAAGCATGTTTAGGAGGACCTAGTATACATAGTGTCAGGCACACTTTAAGTTTTTAAGAAATGAAGATGGGGGCTGGGGATGTGGCTCAAGCGGTAGTGCGCTCGCCTGGCATGCGTGTGGCCCAGGTTCGATCCTCAGCACCACATACCAACAAAGATGTTGTGTCTGCCCAAAACTAAAAAAGAAAAAAATAAAATAAAATAAAAAAAAATGAAGATGGGTGCATTGGCACATGCTTGTGATTCCAGCTACTCAGGAAGATGAGGCAGAAGGATCGCAAGTTCACGGCCAACCTGGGCAACTCAGCCAGACTCTGTCTCTCAAAATAAAAAATAAAAAGGACTGGGGATAATAGCTCAGTGATAGAGTACCGCTGAGTACCAAAAAAATAAAAATAAATAAAAATAAAAAATGGCAGGGGATATAGCTCAGTGGTAGAGTGGCCCTGGGTTCAATCCCCAGCACCACATACCAAAAAAAAAAATCCTCAGGAAGTGATGACTATTGTTACTGTTTGTATTATTTTTTCTGATAAAAGAAAGGCTCCCCTCCCCCGCCAAGAAAGTCAGATCTTGGGCTCAAAGTTCCCTGCATTAGTCTCCCTGTTCCTTGGCCTTTCTGGAAGGTCCCCATGCCGTCTGGCCCTCGGGAGAGCTCCCTTCTCGCCAGAGAAACCAAAAAAGGGACCTCCATCCTGCTGTGTCCCCTGCACCCTGTCCCCCATGCCACCCTGGGATCAGGCCTTCTCGCTCAGCCTCTGTGGACTCTTTGGGCCCCCATTTGCTTTCTGTCTTCTCTGCTCCCCAGTTGTGAAGAGCAGTGGGGGGACAGGAGAGAGCACCCTTCAACAAGAAGCCAAGCCGCGGGAGCACCTCTGCAAGGACAGGCCCAGGTCCAAGCCTCACGGCCCACGCCCACTGTACCTGGCCGGGTGGACTCCTCCATCCTTTAAGGATGCAATAGGGAAGGGCCCACTCCCGCCCTCCTCCAGATCCGGGTCCTGGAGAAGCAAATGCTCTTTCCCCAGCATCAAAGCGGATTCATCCTATTCCAAACGGAAGGAGAGGAAGGGAGGAAGCGCCTCAGGATCCCCAGAGCCCCACTTTTGGTACATTTCCAGGTCCAGTTGACTTTGTAGAGGAGACACACCCCACCCCATCTTCTCAGACAAAGAAGTTACTTTGCCATCTGCTGCTACCTAGGAAGTCCACCTGCGATCTCACCGCTGTCTTTACTGCTAGAGTAACAGAATCAGCGGTGCAGGCCTTGGCCATCATACTGGATGGTCTGCACAAACATTCCCCAAATACCTGAGCATCCCTCACCAGGAAATGGACACGGGGATGGGAAGGGACTTGGGGGCCTGCAGGGGCAGGGCTGGGTTCAGAGGAAGCAGCCCTCCAGCCAGCCCCTGGCGGCCATGGTGCTGGGCCTGGCCCAGTCGACCTTGGCTGACTCAGGACCGTGTTTTCCTAACGGGTCTGTTTTCAATCTGCCCACTGTGGAGGTCTGAGGAGGGCACGTGGCTCTGAGAGACCCTGTGGGGAGAACAAACAGCCTGAAGAGACAGCGGGACTGGGCTCTGGATCTCATTCTCCAGCTGGGGTCTCCTCCTCCAGCCACTGGGGAGAGAGGGGGCAGAATCCAGAGCAGCCAGGGGAGGGAGGGGCATCTATGTTTGCAAAGGGAGAATTCCTATGCTCTGGTCTTCAATCTTATCAAGGGCAGAGCAAGAAGACTGATAGGAATATAAGAAGTATTGAGGTGAAGCTGGGCAAGGCGGTGCACGCCTGTAATCCCAGCAATTTGGGAGGCAGAGGCAGGAGGATTGAAGGTTCAAGGCTGGACTTGGTCTGTGCAACTTAGTCAGACCCTCTCTCAAATAAATAAATAAATAAATATGTGTGTGTGTGTGTGTGTGTGTGTGTGTGTGTGTGTGTGTAGATAGATTTATACACACATACACATATTAATTAAAACCAGGCTGAGATGAAACTCTGTGGGTTTAATTCCTAACACGGGGTTCAAGCCATCCTGGGTTCAATTCCTAACACTGAAAAAAAAAATATTGCAGTTAGTTAGATAGCAGTCCAAAGTAACAGCAAGGAAAGATGGAAATCCCTGCTCTCCTCACAGCAATCCTGAGGTCCAGACTCGTTCCCACAGCCTCCGGCTCTTCAGGGAGTGCCCTCTCCCCCATCTCAGCCCAGCCAGGGTCTCTATTGGGTCCAGCAGTGGAGGGCACTCCTACCCTGGGGCTCCAGAGCGCCTGGCTCTCTTCCCACTTGCAGGGTCCCTTAATTAAACTCCAGCTCTTCCCGGATAGAGCTCCCAGGAATCAAGCCCCGACTCTGTCCCCTTCCCCAGACTCTGTGGCCCAGTCCCACCCCGGACGATAGGCAGAAGGTGGCCTGGAAAACTGGCAGGCCCCTCTGGGTGCACTGGGCTTTCCCCACCTGTGACCACCACAGCCCGCTGGGCTGCAGTCCGGGAGGCGGGAACCGGATTTTCGGAAATGGGAGATTGGGGTTTCACACGAAGCCATTTGTTGAAATCCAAGAAAGTGATAATTATCCAGAGCGATTTTGGGACTCTGGACTGCTTGCTGTAGTAAAATATTTGTCTCACAGATGGGGGCGGGGTGGGGTGTTGGGGACGGCGGAAAGCGCAAAAGGGGGAAGGGGAGGGGGCGCTGGGGCAGCGGATCACCAGGTGGCCGGGCCGGCGCGGAGGGTAGAGAACCTGTCCCGAGGATTGGGTTACTGGCGGAGCCTTGGGGAAGGAGCCTGGAAGGTCTCCAAGGACCCAGTCTCCCTCCCAGAGCCAGGTGTCCCGGGTCAATGAATGGGTCCAGGAGCCGGCTTGGCTAACCCCCTCCCGCGACCAACCTCGTGTTTCTGGTTTCTCCTTGATTCACAGGTTGAGTCACCGCTGGAGCTGGCACGGGTGGGCGCCCCGCCGGGGAAAGCAGGATTTAGTTGGCCGGGCTCAGTGCCCCGGGGCCCAGGCGACCCGGTGCCCCTTTCTCCGGAGGCAGGCGCCCAGGCGCTCGCGCCTTGACTCGGTTCCTTTCTTTCCCGTCCCTACTTCTCCACCTCCGAGGACTCCAGCGACACCCTAGCCTCTCCCGGGTGCTCAGAGACCTCCTTACCCAGCGCTTTGAGCAAATCCTCGAAGTTTTCCGATCGGATGATCTTCCAGTTGCCGGAGAAGTTGGGCATGGTGGTGGTGGGGGCGGGGGTTCCCTCTAGGAGAGCCCTGGACGCTGAGTCGCTTTTCAACGAAATAGACGTCGCCGCCGCCTTCGCCGGAAGGTGAGACTCAGTCACCGAGACTCGTCCGAGGGCAACCCCAAAGCTGGCCTGGGCTCCAGCGCGGGCAGCTTTTATACCCCGCGCGAGGCCCGCCCCTGCCCAGGAATTAGGTGGCCCCGCCCCCGCTCCGCCCTCCCGCCCACCTGGGGGGCCCTGAGCCCCCGCTGCCAACCTCCAGTCTCGTTCCACCCTCCCACCCAGTCTCCTTCTAGCCCGGTGGGTGAGTTTTCTGGAGGCTGAGCTAGCCTCCTCCGCCAGTAGGAGGATGGCGCAGGGAATGGAAAGCGAGCGTTTGCATCGCGATCTCTGGCGGAGGAGGGGTCGCCAGATGCTCGGATCTCGCGTGCTGCAGAGCAACCGAAGGGTCACATCTCGCCTGTTTCGCACCGGTCCCCAGCTTGACTCAGAGCCCTGGACTCTCGCCTCTTCCGTACTGGTCCCCATGCCTGACACACGACGACCCCACTAGAATGAGCCCCAGTTTTTAAGCTAGAGATGGGGAAGGAAACGGGCAACCGAACTTGGCCTCCAGTGGAGCCTAAACTGATTCATTCGGGATAGTTTCCAGCTCCAGAGGCCTGGGGAGCCCTGGAGGTCGGTTCAGCCCGGGGTTCTGGGGTCAGGCATCTGAGCGAGGCAACGGCGCCCCCTGCTGGAACGACGCCACCAGGCTCGGAGCGGGTTGCAAGGTCTCCCCACCCCGAGATTCGGCCTTGGTTTTGGGTAGTGCCTGGGGACCCTCAAAATGGGCTAAAGGAGGTTCACTGCTCTTAATGCACTGGAAGGACATCCAGGGGTTAAGCGGGAGCCGGGGGAGCGAGGCTGGGGAGGGCAGAGGTCACCACCAATCACTTGACACGAGCTCTTTATTAAGGCGCTTTCTCTGCGGTTGCGCTCCCCCTGCCCGAGAGGGGCCAGGGAGGGGGAGCCCAGACAGAGGTGCAGAGTCGCGCTACCACCTAGGTTGGAGAAAAAGCCTGGGTGCCCAGGGAGGGGGCGGAGTAGGGTCTCAGGTGTCACCGTTCTGAGCTGTAAATCTGGCGGAAGGAGCGTCGGCCCCTTGGCGAACGACTTTGAAGTGGGAGATCAAAGGTGGGGGTGTGGGGCACAGCTTCCCGCGGAGACCCGAGGGGTAGTGGCGAGACCCCTGGAGAGCGCCGCAGGACAGAGAAAACGAGCTGCGAAGAGACGGACAGCCTCGGAGATGGGCGCGGAGACCCGGGGCCGGAAACAGCAGAGGAGCTGAGCAGGACCGGTGCAGAGCCTGGAGCGGGAAAAGAACTTCCCCTCCTCCAGCGCCCAAGGGCCCTGCAGCGCTCCCGCCCAGCTGCTTGCACCCCACTGCCCCCACACCCCATTTTCCAGGGCTCGCTCTTCAGCTCTTTCTAAGGCGGGACGAAAACCCCCACAACTATGTCCCTGCCTGGCCCCTCCTTGCCAGCGTGGCCAAGGGTGGAGCAGGAAGGCTGGCAGATCTCGCAGCCTTCACCCTTAGGACGCAGGAACAGTCTAGGGACCAGGGGGCTGTGCGGGACTGGGGAGGAGATGGGAGGAATGGAACCAGAGGAGAGGCCTTTCGGTGTTCTGGGGATCGGGCTTCTGCGACAGAGGGAAATCTCACTAATGGGTGTGTTGAACTAAGGCAGCAGAGGGATGGAGGTTGTGGTGCCAAAAGGACTTCTAGCGCCCCCCCCCCCCAGTAGCGGATCACCCTGCAGATTGGAAGAAGCCTGTCTCTTCCTCTTAGGCCTGGTTTTAGAGGTCCAGGTTTTGTGTGGGGGAGCTGATTCCGAGATGAGGTGGGTGTCTGGGCTTCTGGAAAGACAGACAAAACCAGAGGTGGTGGAAGGAAGGGGGCCCCTGGGGAGGGCTTAGGGCCTGGGGTTGCAGGCACAACCGAGTTCCTCCCCCACCCTTGGGTTCAGCGTCGCTGTAGGTAAAGGGAGGGAGGGGGATTAGGTTCTGACAGTGAAATCCGGCTCCTAGCCAAAGGGATGAGGACAGAGTGGAGGAGGGAACTTGTGGAAAACAGACTCCTGCTGCCCCTCCTTTCCCCTCACTCCTCCTGTCTCCTCTCTGTCTCTCCCAAGGTCATTGTGTCCACTCTGGTCCACTCTAGCCCCTGAAGCCCCCAGCTGCAAGAATCTAGTCTCCTAGTGGGCATCCCTCCTGCAGAAGAGCCAGGGCAGCGACCCCACCCCCTAGCCTTGTGACTAAGGATGTTGAAAGCTCAGCCCAGGGCTGGGGGGGTAGTTCAGTGGTAGAGCCCTTGCCCAGCATGTTGGGGCCCCAGGTTTATCTCCAGTGCGGCAAAACAAAGAAACAGAAAACCTCACCCAAGGATGCCTATCCCTAGGAGGTATGTCCTCTGGTCCCTTAAGGCTCCAACAGGGGAGCACAGGCGCGAAGGCTTGGCTGGGGAGGTTGGAGTCAGAGAAGGGGCTCCCTGGGGTGGGGGCAGGGAGGCCTGGGCCCACTCCCCTCCCCTCCCTTCACTTCCCCTCTCCCCCACAACCAGCCAACTGGCCAGGATTTCCAAAGAGACAGAAGTGAGACAAAGAGAAGTCGGGCTGGGAGGGGAATTCTTTCCAGATGTGAGTGTTTGCGGTTTGGCAGCTCCCGGCCTGAGCTCCAGCCCCAGCACCCCAACCCTGCTGAGGGAGGAGGGTAGAAGGTCCAGCGCAGGGTGCTAACGAGTTGGAGCTGGAGGTCTCAGCCTCTAGCAGCCCCATCACCCCAGGGGAACAGGAGGCACAGGGAGGTGTTTAGGGGAGATGCTGGGGAAGGGGATTGGGGGACGGGGAGGAGTGGGAGACGAAAGGGGTGGGGGGCCAGCTGGGGAGAGGGAACTAACAGAGGTGGATGGGAGAGCCTAGGGGCAAGGGGCAGGGGCTTGGAACCTGGCAGTGGGGAGGACCAGGCCAGCATCAGCCAGTCACAAACAACTGGCTTTAATTTCCCGCTGGGATCAATAAGGAGAAGGAATTTCCCCGTGTCCTGGCCTTTTAATTACGACCAAATCTGCTGCAGACCTGCCCCAGGCGACTCTTCCCCCCTTCTAGGAGCCTTGGTCATGCCCCTCTTGGGGCTCCCCAGGAATGTGGAGACTCAAGTGGGGGGAAGGGTTTAAAGCTGATGAGAAAAGCCGGGTAGGGGTAGCCAGGCGGGATGGGAGTGGAGAGGCAAGGAGACAGACACTTGGGAGGGTTAGCCAGGGCCACTGGGGAGCTTTGTTCCGTTGTAAAGTGCCTGGGAGGAGAGTTTTGCCTGTTTTGCACTGGCCAGCCAGAGTGCCATGGGCAGGGTGAGGGGTGTGTGGGTGGGGTAGACGTGTACAAGATTGAGGGGTACAGAGCTTCTAAGAGGAGACACCCCCACCCCGCTCATCACTCCCTTGAGTCCGGGTGTGGGGAGAGGGACCACCCAGTTCAGCACTGGGAAGGGAAGGGTTGACTGCAGATGGCAAGAGTGGGCGAGTCCTGAAGCCCCCACCCATACCCCCAACCAGGACAGGGAGATTCTCTGGCCAAAGTCAGCACTTGCAGAGAGCCTCACCCCAGCAGTGTTACTGCATCTGCTGGGTCAGAGGGTTTGCTGGCTGAGACTCAGGTAGAAATTGAACCCAGGTGGGGCTGGACACCTGGGGCTTGCCACTCAGCCAAGTGGGCTGGCAAGAAAGCAGACTTTACAGAAGATAGGGAGGCCCGGGAGCCACTGGGACGAGATGGTTGCTGTCTCCTGGCCCCTGAGCCCTGAGGCTTCCGTGCCGCAGAGCACAGACTGCCGCATTCTGCCGCCCGGTCTGCTCTTGTCCTTTGTACAGAGGGTATTGAATCCGGGGCCCTCTGTCACTGAGCTACATCCCCAGCCCTTTTTATTTTTTTATTTTGAGACAGGGTCTCACTAAGTTGCCCAGGCTGGCCTCACACTTGTAATCCTCCTGCCTCATCCTCCCCGGGTCACTGGAATTATTGGCGTGGGTCACCATGCCCTGTGCCACATTCTTACCTGTCTCTCTGGGTTCAGGAACCCAGCTCTTTTGAAATTTTGATTTGCATCCCACCTCCACCCTGCGGAAATTGCCATTGAAGCAGATTGGATGGGAGTTAGACCCAAAAGGTCTCTAGTGACAGGAAGTGAAGGGTCAGGAGACAGGGTCAGAGACCTAGAAGGCAACTCATTTCCTAGAAACATTTGAGTACAGGAGATCCTGCGGACTAGGGAGGGTAAGGGCAGAGAATCCCGAGGGACCCAGAAAGAGAAAGTCCACCCAAAGACAGGGGGTGACGGTGACCTCCAGGGCCAGCCTGGAGCCCGGCAAAGGGAAGCAAGTGCGGCCCAGGAAGGTCGGCATGGCCGACTGTGCGAAGGAGGGGCTGCAGGCAGGCGGAGAGGGTCCCCGCAGCCAGCACCCAGGCGGAGCCTCTGTTGCTTTTGGCTCAGTGACTCTTTCCCAGCCCCAGCTGCCAACGCTCTCCTCAGGGCTGGGCTGGGCTGGCTGAGCCCAGGGAGGAGGTGGGGACGCACTGCACTGGCTGAGGACATGTCCGGACTGAGACTCAGTCCCCTGGATGAAGACTGTGACCTGCCGTTAAACTCTGCTTGGCTTTAAGATCCAGTTTCTAGGGCCAGACCCCTGTGTCACTCCCAACCTCTGCCCCTTAACCCCTGGCAGCCCGGGGCAGGAGGGACAAGTTTGGCAGACGGGATGCTGGAGTTTGCATGGCACCTGGGAAAGCGGCCACCGTGGAAAAGATGTGCAGACTGCAGCCGGCTGCCATCTCTGCCCAAGACGCTGCCATCCCCTGGATGGAGGGAGACTGGGGATCTGCCTCTCCATCCTGTGCAGCGCTGAGACAATCTGGAGTTTTTGGAGGGAGAAGGGGTGGGGGAGGGGGCCGCAGGCTGTGGGCACAGGGCCAGATATCCAGATCCTGGAATTGAAGAGGAAAGAGAAGCAGGAGGGGAGCAGGGCCAGTCCTTCCAGGAGGAGGACTAAGAGGGGCCAGGCTCTGGGCTTTGAAATTCTGGACGGGGCACAGAAAAAGACATCGGACTCACTGTC